ACGGACAGTGGCCAGCAGTGGAATCCAGGATGCACATTTCGTCCCGTTTGGGACTCGCCAACTGGATGTACCTGACTCCCAGTGAGTGATGTTGTTCCCACCGACATTCAATAAAACTATACCCAGGATACTCTGATTCGTATGTTTATTTGAATCATATCTGTAAGAGATTTGAATGAAAACAAAGTTAGTGCAAATGAAGTGATAAAAACAAAAGTCAGCCGTGGTAGACTTGAATGAATACCAGCACTTCAAAGCACTTTATATTTTGGTGTTTTATAAATTAGCAAACAATAGAAAAGGAGTTATATTTGACCAAGACTTTGCGTTTCTCAGCATTTATCAATGAGGCGTATCTAAAAGTTCCTACAGTCGACTTGTCTTCTATGAATAAGCGATAAAAGCAAACTGAAATTTGACTGGCGTTGAATGGACATACGTCATTTGGTATACACCTATGGATTTAGGATGATGGTGGTATGTAAAAGACTCTAACTACAGTGGATTTGAACTATCATCAAAATTGAAACAAAGGTGTACATCCACTGTGAAAGAATCTGAGTCTTCCACAACTATCACAATCAACAGAATGGTGACTGAAGTGAAAGAAACTTCTAGTCAGCAGCCTTGTCATATAGCTCAGTTGGCCGGTAATCTGGAGGTCGTTGGCTCGGATCTTGCCCTGGCCAAGATTTTTATTTCACCACCAATAGTAACCTAGTATCAATCAGTACAAGTCTACCAAACTATGGCTATCTCAGATAGTCAAACTAAGAAAAGAAATATCTTACTGTCTCTCTTTGTTTTTCGGTTTGGTTAAACAATTAAGTTGTTTTGTTCAGTAAAGTGAGATCTCCCTCCTAAAGCTTGATCATCAAACACTGGTTAGATTCATTAAACTGTTGAGCCAGCCACCGATCATATCAAATGTGCGAACTACTCATACTGACTTGTTATAACTCCAAGAATGAATGGTAAGCGTAAAGAGAACCACTTTTTATCCTCATATGTTTTAGGATACTACCAGGAAACACTTCAAGACGAGGAATTTCCACATAATTTTCAAATTTTGCAGTTTACCTTGGTAGTTTTGGGACCATCAAAGTCTAGTGTTAGCAGGGTTTATGTTAGAAACCCTTAAACCAAGATTGAAGGTTGTAGTTTCTCATGATATTACTCTTGATGTGAACAAAGTGATTCCCAGGTATTTTGCATACTGTCCACTCATTTTATGGGACGATTACACACTGCCAAAAGTCAGATAATCCAATTCTGTCAACTTAATCGATTTTGTGCAGACCTGGCCTTGAATGATCTGCTTATTGGAACGTAAAGGCGTAAGTTGTTTCCCGGTCTTTATTTTGTAACACAGAATATTTTGGTTATAATTTATTGATTAGTTTTTGAAGAGAAAGACTATATGTTTCATCCCTATGCAGGGGGCACTTTTGTAAATTGTAATTCCGGTTTAGTTTATTTGTTAGATAATATCAAACAGTGAGTGATTATATTTCGGACAAGTTGATATATGTCCGGTGGTATTTATCCAGTAAATAAAATACTATTTCATTGTATCTTAAGCTTAATTATACAAACTAAAAATGAAGTTAGTTAATTTACTTTTTAGAGAATAAGTTACATTCCTGTTGAATGATGATGCTTCTACATTTTAAGAGACCACACTACAAAGGAGTCGCACACCAGTTTTCTTAGAAATACATTACTAACACCGACTGTATGAACTATACAATGAAAGTGTCCACTGTTTAACGAATTAAAGATTTGTAAAGTGTTATAGTTGAACTCCAGAGAAATACTTCATTTATCCTTTTTCATGCAACAGAGTGCATAGACAGTGTTTGATGAAGTGACTGACAGTTCCAAATTCCTTAATTTATGTCGGATTAATTGCAGAAAAGAATTGAATGATATGGATTTGACATATATTTCAGAGTATCAATAAAAACTGATAAAATTGGCCTTGAAACTCAAACTTTTAAAATTTACTTTCAGATATGGCCAAGCGCGTTGTTCAATTAGACGGAGTTCAACGCCGAAGATGATCAAGACATCGTAATCTACATGTCAGCCTCATCATCTTCATCATCATCAATAACAACATAAAACCAGACATTACTGTATTAACGGTTCAAATTGCTACACTTCACATCAGGAAATTAACAGACAGTGCATTAAGATGAAGGATAAAGAAATACAGAAGAATAGGTCAAAAGCAGTAGGAATCAGTAAAAGACAGGAAGGAGAAATAAGGAAATGTTGAATTCAGTATGATAACATGAGGATAATCTGTGGACATATCTACCGCACTGAGATTGATTCTGAAGCATGTCACTAATACTCTCCAACCGTTGGTTTCTGTTGTCAGATGGAACCCACCGTGAGGTTTACATTTGCCTACACAGCGCAGACAAGAAGTCAAAGACTTCATGCACGGATGCATTATTTTAGTCTGACTACCCCTAACCTTTTATCAGACTAAACTTACTTCACTCAGTATTGTGCGACGGGCAGATGGTGATAAGGCGTGCATAACAGATGTTTCAGCCACCTGATTCGATGTATGTTCACAATGTCATCAAATGACACTTATTTTCTGCCCAAAAATCTACGCCTGATCTCTGCATTACTGACTCGGTGACACCACGACATACGCCTAAGCTACGAAAGCAAAAGTGGTCAGACATTTGAAGCCTTCTCATTTCCTTTATCTTTGATGGCCATGTTTCACAGCCATACAGTAGGACAGAAAGGACTGAAGCAGAGTACACTTGACCCTTAATTGGAAATTATATATAGCAGTGGCGCCAGAGATGGTGTAAGTTTAAGAAAGCCAGTCGGGCTTTTTGTATCTGTGCAGAGATTTCGTCGGCCACTGGTCCACCAAAGCTGATAGGACTTCCAACGTAAGTCAAGTGTTCAGCTCACTGATCGACATCCTTCCCTACTTTTAGGCAGAATACCATTGAACACCAGTCCTGGAGAAACAATTTACATTTTTGTGGTGACAAATGCACTCCAAATATTCTCAGACTGACACTTGAGGTGTCTAGAAGACTCTACATCTTGTTAGAGCCTTCATCAAACAAAATTATGTCATCCGCATACTCCACTTGCAGTCAAAAATAGACTATATGTAGACAGTAGACAAGATCTCTGAGGAGTGTCATATTAGAAGAACGCTATGATTTTACCAGAGTTAACGCTTACTAAATTCATAACATGATTCTTAAAATATAAGCATACACTAACCGGAGTTTGTTAGGATATAAAGGCTTTTTTATCACTGTCAAGTACACTTTTTTAACACAGTTTATATTTTATCTATTTTACTTGACCTATGGGTTACTAGTGGAACATGGGGCTTCAGTAGCACGTCACAATTTCACTCTCTTCTCTGCAGTCTTCTCAAACTGGCTCCACTACTGCTCACAAGCTTTCATACATTCCTCACAACATCTCCTCCATGTCACACTTGAATCGTTTCACATTTCTTTATCTTACGTCTCAACCTCATCGTGAGAACATACGCGCGTCTTTATATATATATATATATATATATATATATATATATATATATATATATATTTCCGGACACTTCGTCAAAATATATGCTAAATATGAGGGTTTATGCATGTATATTTACATTGGCCTCGGCTAACTCCATGTCTTTCCAGATTTGAATCTCCTATTAGATTTTGTCCCCTCAACCAATCTGACATTCACACGCTGGTTCATGTGTTTCCTTTCTGCACTCTACAGCAAATCTACAGTTTCTAAATGCAGTTATTAAATCTACAAAATTAAATGGATGAGTTTTCAAAAGCAGACTGACAAACTCATCCGTGGATGTATATTTTCTGAAGGTGTCATTCAATTTATTGCACCCCTGTTGATTATTCATTGACCTTCACTTCTCGTGCATAAAATCAAGGACAGTTTAAGGATAGGTGCCACTGGTGCTGTCAACTTGTTAAGTCATGTTCATTATCATTTCTGTTTTGTGATTATTTCATGGAGCACGTTGTTATATCTTACCTACTTCATGACACCTAGATCACTACTTTTCATTCCTCATTCCCAATAGTTTAGTTAGTTTGATATAAATTACTTTAGTGCAGATCTAAACACATCAAACCTCAGTCCGCTTTGATAAGATGAACAACTCCTACAGCCAGGTGTAAGTTATATTTCAATAAATATTTAACAGAAGACACTGATTACTCCATATAGGTGCATGATTTGAACTGTAAAAGCCTATGCAGTTGTCTTCCCGAGATGGTTATATGCTGTCCTACCAAGTGAACTCCATTCACTTAACCAATCAGTCAGATATACTCTAGTTTCCAGGTTAGTCATCCACTTTTTCCAGTGCTAGTAGGACACAGAGATGAGTTACAACTTAGTAAACGTTCTCCATTTGACAGTTGCCAACTGCATGTCACTTCACAGGAACTGATTTACTCTCACAGACCTTAATATACATCGCTTTTTTTGAAAGTTATAGACACTACCGCTTAGCTCTTCAGGCCGCCATGTTGTTAAATGACAAGTGTTTTTGGAGATCAAATGGTAGAATTCGCAATGTGGCCAAAAAGTTACTAGACTCATGGTTGCTATGCCTTATTGATTGATGTCGGACGACTGGAGACGACTAACAAACAATCCTACGTGACCAACGTTTTTTCATACTTGAGGCGACTTGTCAGTAAGGCTATCTGCAACCCTAAGAGAACGGTTGCCCCTTAAGAGATATGAACACATGTCACACAGTTCTGATACAAGGGAGGTGGGTTTCAGGTGTAACGGGCTGAAAAACGCTAACTAGCACAAAAAATGGGTGGTTAAAGGACTCTTGATAATCGCCTTCGACCACATAACATCAGTTTTCCACTGCTCACAGAGGGGATCCCAAAATGTGTTTATGCATTAAATCATGATATGAATATTTCTCAGAAAACGTCGTACTACTCACAAGTAATATGGGTTCAAAATACATACATATAACCTTAAATGTTTTTCTTCGTTCAGATAATCTAACAAATTCAATTCATAATCATCTTCATGAAGATTTTTCAATAAACGATAATACAAGAGTTATCACACCTTCAGAATATGGATTACTATTTGGCTTAGTACTGGCCATCCTGTCTTTCTTAACAGCTGCTATGAGTGTACTTTACATATTTGCGCATAAATTGTGTCCAACCATAACAAAATTCTTGACAACTGAACCGATTAAATCAATAAACCTCCTACATTCATCATTCAAATGGCCAAAGTGTAAAACGAATGAGAATAATTGTCTAACATCGAATTCCACGTCACTTAATGTCATGAATTCAATGAATCAATTTATTGAATATAAAAGTGAAATTGTTAGCCCCATAAATCACAGCCAAACGTATTTACAAGAAGACTGTCAACAGTCATTACACTATGACTGCGTCAGTTTGATGCCATTGAATGGGTGTGGTAGCAAAAATATGATATCATTGAATCATATCTATGCAGATCACACTATCCGTCCCCGGATAAGACCTCCTCTATATCGCACACGTAAGCATTTTTTAAAACTAAAATATCCCATTCTTTTTTAACTACTCATTAGTAGTACAATGATGCATCTTGATGATTAGCATACTGCTTGTATTCAATTAGTTCTATAACAAAGATAATCACTCTTAGGGCTGTTATAACTCCATTTTGTTACAATAATCTTAAGGACTGGATTCTAGTGATTCAGTCTTAACGCGAACCTTCCACGTGATTATTATTATTATTATTTGTCCGTTGGGTTCCTAGTGGAACATATAGCTTCACTACCACGTCTCCATTGCACTCTCTTCTCTGCACTCCTTTACATCTGGCTCCAAGACTGCCCACAAGCTTTCATTTCTTCCTCACAACATCTCCTCCATATCACCCTCGCCTCAGACGCCCATCTAGTCGTTTCACATTTAGATTCCACTCGAGGGCTTGGCCTGACACATGATGTCTCCGAATGTCTTTCTCAGTGTGTGCCCAATCCATCTCCACTTTCTTCTGCATATTTGTTGGGCAACAGATTCTTGGTTGGTTCTTTGGTAGACCAGAGTTCCTTGTTGCTTATTCTTGTCATTCTGGACATCCATCTGATCTTCAGTGTCAGTATCGAGTGAGCGTAGGCGGAAGCTGTTGATGTATGTATGTCTGTGGTTTGTTGGAAATGCTTTCCGTAACATGCCAAGTCTCTCAACCATCACACAGAAGCACTGACTTGACTGACTTAGTGTTGGAAATCCGGATCTTGTTCATGCTTTATGCTGAGTGCAGTGCAGTAGATTTCCACACTCACATCAGATTGATGAAAGCTTGTCTTGCTTTTCCAATCCTGGCTGTCTTTGACGTCGTTGTCTGTGCCAGTGCCGCCTGTAGTTGAAACGATGCTGTCTAGATAGGTGAAAGAGGCTACTTCCTTTAGGTTTCTCCCGTTGATGGTGATTAGAGCTTGTTGTTGGTGGTGGTGATGTTGGTTGGGTATCTTTATCACCCCTATCTTCTCTACATCCATTTGAAGTCCCGTCTTCGCTGTCCTGACTCTTCTGTCAACTTGTTAGTTTTCGCCTGCAGATCTTCGAGTTTGTGTAACGTTAGACCCAAGTCATCATCGGCGAAATCCAAGTCTTCTAGGTTCTTTTCGTCTGTCCAGCATATCACCCTCTTCTAAATCCTCACTGTTTGTTGCATGATCCAGTCGAGTCGACCACAATCAGGAATATTATGTGTGATGGTAGGCAGCCTTGTTTCACTCCTGTCTTCACTTCGAAAGCACCACTGAGCTTCCTACTGTGAATTACTTGGCATGTGGCGTCTTCATATAGTTGTTGAATGAGGTTGATAAAGGTTTGTGGTATTCCGTTGTGTTGAAGCAACTCCCAAATTACTTCTCGGTCGACGCTGTCAAAAGCCAGCCTTCTCAAAGTCGATATAGTTGAGGTAGAGTTGAGTTGACTGCCATTCTATACCCTGTTCTATGATGATGCGTAGCTTAGTGTTGCAATTTGGTCGGCACATGATTTGTACTTCCTGAAGCCTGCCTGTTCCGGTTGTAATTTTGAATCCAGCGCATCCTTCAGTCTCTCCAGGATTATGCGGCTTGATATTCGGCTTGTTGTGTACATCAACATGATTCCGCGCCAGTTCTTGCAGAGCCTTAAGTCTCCCTTCTTCGGGGGTTTGACAAGGTAACTCTTCTATCAGTCAATGGGCAGATACCTTTCCTTCCTTCCAGACCGCCTGCAAGAGTGGTGTTAGCATGTCCACTGTCGTCTCTTCGTCTCCTCTTAGTGCTTCTGACGGGATTCCATCTAATCTCGCTGCTTTCCCGCATTTCAGGAGCTTTATAGAGTTCAGGACTTCGACTTTCGTCAAAGAGCTTGTGTTCACTTGTAGTTCTATGGCTGCTGGTGTGTCCATCTGCCGAAATCCATGTCGCTTTGTGGATATCCTTGTGTTTGTTTCTTCACACTGCCTCCAATCACCAAATCGTTGAACACGTAGAATTCTGCAAACAGTTCTCCATTCTCATTCGTCCCATGATCAGTTGTCTCCTTGTCTTTTCCTCTCCCAGTTCGGCACTCAAGTCACCCCACACATTAGAATTTTGATGTCGCCAACTTCAGTCTTGTCCAGTGTTGATTGCAGTTGTCTGTAGAATTCCTCCTTCTTCACTTCATCTGCATTATTTGTAGGTGCATAGCGTAGCATTGTGTGACTGTGACTTTCCTTCCTTCCTTCCCTCCTTCCTTCCTTGCTTTTGAGTTGAACCTTGCTGTCATCATCCTGATGCTGAGGAGATTGGTTCCCACTGCATGAGAGTGAGCTTTCGATGTTGTTGGCGACATCATGATAACCACTCGAAAACTCAGTGTGCAGTGTTCGTGGTTGTCGTCTGTGTGACAATATTGGAGTGCATTATTGATTCTCCAGTTGATAGTTTGGAGGGTCTCCTTCCATTCCATTTGCTTTCGCAAATTCCTATCACTTCAATGTTATACCTTCCCATCTCGTTTGCAATCTGGGCAGCCTTACCATCCAGGTTCATACATTGTGCGGACATTCCATGTCCCCACGTTTACTTTTGCCTTCATCGAGAGAGAGAGAGGGAGGGAGAGAGAGAGAGAGAGAGAGGGAGAGAGAGAGGGAGAGAGAGAGAGAAGACACATCGACCAGTTGGCTTCGCGAAGGCTTTCACCAACTGGCATCATTTCGTGTCTCCTATTTTGGGGAGGAATAAGTTTATTTTTATTTTTTATATTTTCTTTGCTCTTTGAGGTTTCTTTAGCGTTTGGATTGGTTTTCCGGCGTAGGGTTGCTAACCCTATGCCTAACTTTTCCTTTTTATCCGGGCTTAGGACCTGTTAGTAAACTAGGTGATGTTCAGTATAGTTTAGAAAGGGAGAATACTGAGTTTCGAAGTGAGAAAATACACCGTTTATATATGATAACTGAATTATGTGAGAAGACAGCTTATCTATTTATCTACATGAGCTGTTATGTATCCATTTACTAACGCCTCTGTGCAGGGTTTCAGTCTTGTGAATAATTTGTAACGTCTATTGTGAACGTTTCTGCTGAGACGATGTGTGCTTATTAAATCGTCTTACTTCATTCTGGTGAATTACATCAAATCATTGTGTAGTACTTGTTGTTTTCCGTTGACATACATGATCGAACCACTCCACCACTGTTGGCAGATGGGCTTCTATAAGGATGCCTTGATACTGCAGAATATTCATTATGTTGTAATCACCTTGGTGACTTGCAGTGGAATCCGGGATGTGCGTCCTAAATGGCACTTGTCATCTGGAAGTGATGTTGTTCCCACTGAGATTCAAACCTAGGATCCATCGCTTCGAACGCCAAAGCATTATCCACTAGGACACTGGGAAACGACAGCCACCTATTGCACAACGGGTACCAGTTTTTAATTGTTGATACTTGTAATTTCGCGCTGCTATAGAGTGTCAAATTGCTCGAACTAGAGTCGGATCTGAAAGGCAGACCAGTGGCCGAACAATCTGAGGTAACTGTTGTGCAGACTTACTAAAACAAGTCTTCTCATCACTTTGTTTTTCATTATTTTCATTTCGAAATCAACAAGGATATGCTCATTTCTGTATAACTAGCTGTGCTAGTGGCGCAAACCAAGTAGGTTGTGAATACAGTTACTCAACGACGGAAGTGAATGGAGGTCGCGCTATATCGCAAACTTATAGAAGTAGGAAGATGGGGACCACTGGATTTTGACTCAGTAACCCAGTGGTAATGTGATGGCCATGGGATCTGAAGGTCCTGGTTTCGATTCCTGGGGGGATCATCAGTGCCCACCGCTGTAGTGTCTCATACCAGGACGAAACAGCTATTCAATGCTCCCAGGCTTCCAATGGCTCCACAAATGATGTCAGTCCGTGATAAATACCAACTTTAAAACTAGAATTCTTACTGAAATAAGATTTATTTTCACACCCCATGAAAGCAGACATGGATTTATGAATGTAAGAGCAGAACTTCGTACTGTAGTAGAGTCTAGTTCCATGTTAACTTGTTTGTTGGATATTTTGCATAGGAAAACTGTATCATTTGATAGATGATGCTTTTGAACAGAATTTACTCGTCATGCTCATATAAAAAAGAACTCCATATTTTATTTTTATGCTTTTGTTTCTTTTCCCTCATTTGTCACATGGGGAGTAGAATTTTCCAAATACGTGGAATGGGTTTCGAGTTATTCTTATTATGTGCCAGGAAATAAGACAGAGTAAAGAAACGTTACTACTCAGTAACTACCCTAGCATCTTGATCCAAAATATGTGAGAAATTGTAAGAAAAAGACGCGTAAAACAAACATAATTAATACGCTTACTAATAACGGCGACACTAAGAAACGATAATTCAAAACGCTCCAGGTGCTACCATACAAGGAAGGTACATCAGAAAATTTACTCATAATTCTCAACAGGTCTAGGATCAAGGTGGAATTTAAACTCGGATACAGGCTTTCCAGTCTAGAGGATCCTATAGAGCTTATCAGACAAAATAATCTAGTTTATCAAATTCTATGCATCAATTGTAAGGTCAAGTAAGTAGGTCAAAGTAATCGACCGAGGTCAATTAGAATAACAGAGCACAAAAGCTTGACTAAATCTTGGATAGCAGACCCTAATCAGATAAAGAATCTAGATAAAAAATAAGCCATAGCGTTGTATGCGATCACATACAGTCACATGATAGGATGGGACAAAGCGACAGTCCTAAGTAAAAATTTACCAGGGTGCAGGGAAAGACTGGTGGTTGAAGCTTTGTTTATCGAGCCAACATAGAACAACTATCCCAGGTGATTAGCAAATTCTACTACCTGTATAAGGAGAGAGTGAGAAGGAGAAAAGGAACTATAATAACAAGAGGTGAACATGAAAATTAAATGCTGTTCGGAACGTCTAGGAAATAATACTCTTTCTCTGAGTAAAAAACCCAGGAAGTAAATTAACATGGAATTTGACACAGATTTGATCTCATAAACTGATGGAAGCGAATTTCAATGCATATTCTCAAATTTTATTTCACTACCACAAACTGAACCTCAGTCGATAGAACAACAAACAAATAAACGAACAACGGTGACAACCAATAAAGGTGAAGTATTTGTCTGTACAAACAATATTACGAAACAAAAATCATACTACTTAAAAATCTGCAAGTAGTAAATGAATAAAATGCATATAATTCAGATTCGTTTTTGTTTGACATTTTTTGTGCGCACAATTCAGTAAATGATAAATCTTTGTGGCACACTGATATCACAAAATTTTCATCCACTCTTAGGTATTTACAAATTCATGTATCCGGATGAGTCATAAGTTACTGAAGGTATATACAAGTATTCACAAGTCTTTCCAGTTGTATCACATGATGAAATCGAAGAGGTAGGCATAACTGGTTGAATAAGATTGGTTGTTATCCTTTGCTGATTAGATAACGTTAAATAATGATTGTTTTCATTGGTATCATTTGATAAAGCTACTGAAAAATAAGGAATGACACTATCTAAATTGATATGTGTTGTTCTTGGAAGGAAAATATGTCTTTGATTAGTAAGTGAAGTATGAAGTGAATCTCTGGAGGAGAGTAACATTTCTGCTTGGTAAGATATATCATTGGGATTGTAAGGAACAGGAGTAATTGGATTAAGAGATTCTTGCATGGCTTTTAAATTGTTGATTATGTGCATACTATGACTATGCGTCAGATGAAGTGGTAATCTGGAGGTATTTGCTGTACTGATCTGGTTATTATAAACACTAACTTGAGGATTGGATTCATAGACGAAATCCATACGGAATTGACTTATTGAATTACGGTATTTAGCGTCATTGAACTGATAAACTTTTCCTCCGCCATTATAATCTGAATTAATAAAAAGAAATCAGTCTGTTCACAGTAACGAGAAATTTAACAAGAAGTAACCGTGTGATACCAGTATTTAAGGCATTACTTTGAAAAAAGAGTTGCAGAACATCTATCAGGAAGAAATGTAGTGAAAATGAGCATAGAGGACTTAGATAGCTATATTCTCCTTGATTATTCCATATACATATTAGAAAAACATTACAAAGACAGTCTGTTATCTACACACCTTCTTTCTATATGTGTATTGTTATTCCGTACATTATACAGTAGAAGTAACCACCATTCAGATGGAAAGTATGTCATTTCATTTGTAACTCATAGTGTATGCTGATACTCAGCTGAATAAATTCTTCAGCTGTAAATCGGCAGGAATTATTAGTGAAATGTTATAATTGACTTGGTTGTGACAGCGGAATCCAGGACACGCGTTTCTTTCTATTTAGCACTCGTAAGCTGTATGCACCTGCAACCCAGTGAAAAATTGTTATTCTCACTGAGACTCAAACCTTGTACTCATCACTTCAAACGTCAGGCAATATTTAGGCATCCACATAGGACCTCATAAACCAGCAGAGGTCAAATAATTTGATTCAGTATAACAAAGAAGTATTACAAGTATATCAGCAAATAGTAATAACTGATAAAGTGGTTGTGAAAACCCCGCCAGACGTTCAATTTAGAAGTGGCTGTAAACGTTATGGTCATTTGAGAGTGTTAAAATTGTATTTGAAGTTATAATTCACATGATGTAATCCAAGTTACTCATCGTTATGGCAACTTGATGATTGTGGCTACGATTATATATGGAAGTTGAGTGAGAACCATCAATCAACCTGCAATTGGTAGGGAACGATTACTCAGCTCCACTTATTTCTTAGTAGTTTCATCATAAAATTATGATTAAAGATTGTTAACTTTCTTGTTTACCGTATGGGATGTTCCCAAAGTATTCCCTTTTATATCTTAAGTTTTATACTACTTACTATTTTTAAGTAGTATAATATATTGCTTTACAACATTGCATCATCTACATCCTTGATTGTTCGTTCTGTTCAATCGTATCTCGTCAACCATTTGATATTAGCATTTTTCACAGTTCGTGATGATGTTTTAATTTCTTACGTTGCCATCTGATATTCTATTTTATCTTGAACATTTCTTTATCTTGCGTCTTAACCTCATCGTGAGAACATACGCGCGTCTTTTTATATTCCCTATTGGTTTGCCTCGGACACACCTTCTCTGTTTTTACTGTTGACGCACTCTTTGTGAAGTGCTTTGTTACCGATAAACCCTCAGATACCCTACGATTAGAGGTTTGTGTTTTATTATTCAATATTGCTGACTAATATAGAATAGTATTTCAGAAAAATCCTGTGTTTTTTATTTTACACATAACTCGAACGTTTGATTTATTGTTGGGAAGTCGCTTGTTTGCTTTGGTTCCAAATTTCTTCGGAAGAAATTCATGAAGATAGATTTCGTTGATAAATCTTTGTGAATGTGGAGTTACGCTAAGGGATGCAAGTAAAGGAACACTTAAGTGGCCTAAATCACTGACAAATTATTCTTTCTAATCATTACAGCTTCACTCTATTTGAAACATGTCAGCCATGTAGAACAAATAAAAGTATAGTATGAAGAGAAAACTTGAACCCAGAAATATTACTCAGTGCAGTAATAATTGTGAGTGGATTTTATGACGATTATCTGTAACATTCAATTGAGAGGTTAATTTAAGGGGATTGAGTGTAACTGAATGTAATTTTTTCAAACAAAAAAGTCTCTGTCAGCCTGAAAAATATTGAAAACTAAAGAGTACTGAACAGCTTTTCATTGTAGCTTGATTTCACTGCATTGTAAATTGAGAAGAGCTGAAAATCTGAGCCATTGGATATCGTACTAGTGAGATAACAATCTCACTAAGCCATCTAACCGTGTTGAAGTCGATTGTATACATTCTTCTGAAGTTTCAAAATGATACGAAAACATTGCTCCACGCTATTTGACTTTCTTCAGATTACTTCAATCCGCAATGATAGCCTCCCCCATTGTATTAGCCAAGAAGTGGGAAACGTCAATCTCAGACAAGTCTTATTGGCCGTTTATTTGATTGATTTGAACAATCGTTCTACTTATGACTTAATTAGTAATACTATTAAATAGCTCGATTCAAGAGCTTTCCATTGATCCCTCATTCATTTATATATGACTTATAGTTTTCAAATAATTGCATGCTGAGGAAAATCCATTATTGTGAATCACATCGCGTGAAATATATGGGCAATGAAATCAAACTTTGCGTTTTGTTGTAAACGGTTGACGGGGCCGAATTGCGAGAGTATTCGTGTGGATCGATTGGGTAGACGAAGCTAGGCAATTAAACTGTAGGACTATAATGTGGACAATCTCGTCCGGTTAACTAGTTCATAGTTACTAGCTGGTCCTAAGCCCGGATAAAGAGGAAAGGTTCGGCATAAAGCTAGCAACCATACCCCGTAAAACCAATCCAAACGCTAAAGAAACCTCAAAGCCAATTGGTCGATATATCTCCTCTCTCTCTCTCGATGAATGCAAAAGTAAACGTGGGGACATGGAATGTCCGCACAATGTATGAACCTGGATGGTAAGGCTGCCCAGATTGCAAACGAGATGGGAAGGTATAACATTGAAGTGATAGGAATTTGCGAAAGCAAATGGAATGGAAGGAGACCCTCCAAACTATCAACTGGAGAATCAATAATGCACTCCAATATTGTCACACAGACGACAACCACGAACACTGCACACTGAGTTTTCGAGTGGTTATCATGATGTCGCCAACAACATCGAAAGCTCACTCTCATGTAGTGGGAACCAATCTCCTCCAGCATCAGGATGATGACAGCAAGGTTCAACTCAAAAGCAAGGAAGGAAGGAGGGAAGGAAGGAAGGAAAGTCACAGTCACACAATGCTACGCTATGCACCTACAAATAATGCAGATGAAGTGAAGAAGGAGGAATTCTACAGACAACTGCAATCAACACTGGACAAGACTGAAGTTGGCGACATCAAAATTCTAATGTGTGGGGTGACTTGAGTGCCGAACTGGGAGAGGAAAAGACAAGGAGACAACTGATCATGGGTAGAGAAACGCTCGGTGAGGTGATGAACTAGAATGGAGAATTGTTTGCAGAACATCCAGGATATCCACAAAGCGACATGGATTTCGGCAGATGGACACACCAGCAGCCATAGAACTACAAGTGAACACAAGCTCTTCGACGAAAGGCAGTGTCGCTTCAACTACAGGCGGCACTGGCACAGATGAAGATGTCGAAGACAGGATGGGGAAGACAGCAAGACAGGCTTTCATCAATCTGATGTGAGTGTGGAAATCTACTGCACTGCACTCAGCATAAAGCATGAACAAGATCCGGATTTCCAACACTAAGTCAGTCAAGTCAGTGCTTCTGTGTGATGGTTGAGAGACTTGGCATGTTACGGAAAGCATTTCCAACAAACCACAGACATACATACATCAACAGCTTCCGCCTACGCTCACTCGATACTGACACTGAAGATCAGATGGATGTCCAGAATGACAAGAATAAGCAACAAGGAACTCTGGTCTACCAAAGAACCAACCAAGAATCTGTTGCCCAACAAATATGCAGAAGAAAGTGGAGATGGATTGGGCACACACTGAGAAAGACATTCGGAGACATCATGTGTCAGGCCAAGCCCTCGAGTGGAATCTAAATGTGAAACGACTAGATGGGCGTCTGAGGCGAGGGTGATATGGAGGAGATGTTGTGAGGAAGAAATGAAAGCTTGTGGGCAGTCTTGGAGCCAGATGTAAAGGAGTGCAGAGAAGAGAGTGCAATGGAGACGTGGTAGTGAAGCTATATGTTCCACTAGGAACCCAACGGACAAATAATAATAATAATAATCACGTGGAAGGTTCGCGTTAAGACTGAATCACTAGAATCCAGTCCTTAAGATTATTGTAACAAAATGGAGTTATAACAGCCCTAAGAGTGATTATCTTTGTTATAGAACTAATTGAATACAAGCAGTATGCTAATCATCAAGATGCATCATTGTACTACTAATGAGTAGTTAAAAAAGAATGGGATATTTTAGTTTTAAAAAATGCTTACGTGTGCGATATAGAGGAGGTCTTATCCGGGGACGGATAGTGTGATCTGCATAGATATGATTCAATGATATCATATTTTTGCTACCACACCCATTCAATGGCATCAAACTGACGCAGTCATAGTGTAATGACTGTTGACAGTCTTCTTGTAAATACGTTTGGCTGTGATTTATGGGGCTAACAATTTCACTTTTATATTCAATAAATTGATTCATTGAATTCATGACATTAAGTGACGTGGAATTCGATGTTAGACAATTATTCTCATTCGTTTTACACTTTGGCCATTTGAATGATGAATGTAGGAGGTTTATTGATTTAATCGGTTCAGTTGTCAAGAATTTTGTTATGGTTGGACACAATTTATGCGCAAATATGTAAAGTACACTCATAGCAGCTGTTAAGAAAGACAGGATGGCCAGTACTAAGCCAAATAGTAATCCATATTCTGAAGGTGTGATAACTCTTGTATTATCGTTTATTGAAAAATCTTCATGAAGATGATTATGAATTGAATTTGTTAGATTATCTGAACGAAGAAAAACATTTAAGGTTATATGTATGTATTTTGAACCCATATTACTTGTGAGTAGTACGACGTTTTCTGAGAAATATTCATATCATGATTTAATGCATAAACACATTTTGGGATCCCCTCTGTGAGCAGTGGAAAACTGATGTTATGTGGTCGAAGGCGATTATCAAGAGTCCTTTAACCACCCATTTTTTGTGCTAGTTAGCGTTTTTCAGCCCGTTACACCTGAAACCCACCTCCCTTGTATCAGAACTGTGTGACATGTGTTCATATCTCTTAAGGGGCAACCGTTCTCTTAGGGTTGCAGATAGCCTTACTGACAAGTCGCCTCAAGTATGAAAAAACGTTGGTCACGTAGGATTGTTTGTTAGTCGTCTCCAGTCGTCCGACATCAATCAATAAGGCATAGCAACCATGAGTCTAGTAACTTTTTGGCCACATTGCGAATTCTACCATTTGATCTCCAAAAACACTTGTCATTTAACAACATGGCGGCCTGAAGAGCTAAGCGGTAGTGTCTATAACTTTCAAAAAAAGCGATGTATATTAAGGTCTGTGAGAGTAAATCAGTTCCTGTGAAGTGACATGCAGTTGGCAACTGTCAAATGGAGAACGTTTACTAAGTTGTAACTCATCTCTGTGTCCTACTAGCACTGGAAAAAGTGGATGACTAACCTGGAAACTAGAGTATATCTGACTGATTGGTTAAGTGAATGGAGTTCACTTGGTAGGACAGCATATAACCATCTCGGGAAGACAACTGCATAGGCTTTTACAGTTCAAATCATGCACCTATATGGAGTAATCAGTGTCTTCTGTTAAATATTTATTGAAATATAACTTACACCTGGCTGTAGGAGTTGTTCATCTTATCAAAGCGGACTGAGGTTTGATGTGTTTAGATCTGCACTAAAGTAATTTATATCAAACTAACTAAACTATTGGGAATGAGGAATGAAAAGTAGTGATCTAGGTGTCATGAAGTAGGTAAGATATAACAACGTGCTCCATGAAATAATCACAAAACAGAAATGATAATGAACATGACTTAACAAGTTGACAGCACCAGTGGCACCTATCCTTAAACTGTCCTTGATTTTATGCACGAGAAGTGAAGGTCAATGAATAATCAACAGGGGTGCAATAAATTGAATGACACCTTCAGAAAATATACATCCACGGATGAGTTTGTCAGTCTGCTTTTGAAAACTCATCCATTTAATTTTGTAGATTTAATAACTGCATTTAGAAACTGTAGATTTGCTGTAGAGTGCAGAAAGGAAACACATGAACCAGCGTGTGAATGTCAGATTGGTTGAGGGGACAAAATCTAATAGGAGATTCAAATCTGGAAAGACATGGAGTTAGCCGAGGCCAATGTAAATATACATGCATAAACCCTCATATTTAGCATATATTTTGACGAAGTGTCCGGAAATATATATATATATATATATATATATATATATATATGTTACTTAAGTGATATCAAGTGGTCACTACAGGGTTACAGTTGGCGACTATGGTTATAAAGGTGGTGACGGGTAGATACAACACTTCTTTCTAATGAAGACTTTCAAACATTTCTGCGAGAAAGAATGAAAACAACAGCGCAGAGAAATGTTAGGAAATTCAATCAAATACTGGATGACATCAAGTCAGAACCTACGTCCATAAGTCCTCAGATTTTGAATAAGACTCCCAGTAAATACTTAAATGATGGACGTAGTGAAGCTGAAAAGAAGCTTGATAATATGAATCATGTTACATTAATGGATGAGGATGATAGTAACCCTTCCGTTACCCTTCACGAAATAATAAATGATACAAACATTAGATTAGATGATGGTCAGGAAGTACTTGTCAATAGTTTGCAGCATGATGAAAGATGTTTGGTGTGATTCAACCTTTCTAAAACTTAGCACCATGCTATATGTTCAGGTAGAGTTCTCAACGAGTACTATTTCAGGAAACGAGGAGACACAGACGCAGGAAGGAATGTTTATTATTAACGCGTGGTACAGAAGTCATTAAATACGGTACACCTTGGACTAAGACAGTCATCTGCATAATGTGCTTCATTTCCTCTTCCGCTTCTCCATTGATTTACTTTTAATACGACCGCATTGTGTCTTACATTTGTCTGGACCGAATCCGTACCCACTGCTGGTAATTCCCTATGTTTTCTGCCGCACTCTCAACATATGCTACTTACATCCATATCAGCAACATCCGCTACACTATTTGGAAGTCCAAGCATCAACATCAACAATTACACAGATACTCAACAGGGTTCAAAGTCCCCGCACACACATCAAATGAGATAGTTGCTTTGCATGATAGTGGATTACCATATCAAAGAAAATTTATGTCCGTACTAGAAAATGGACACCAGGATTGTCTGTAAGCCAGCTTCGCTTCATAGATCACACCCACTAGCCAGTGAGCAACTGGAAAACCCCGAATCCACCCAAATCCACAGGTTGCTCACATTACATCAGGTTGTCAGAACCACATTATCGAGATAGTATAACGGTGTGCTCACTGTGGCAATTCATCGCGCAACGGAGTACATCGATATCCTTGGCTTAAAATGGATAAAACATCTCGACCTGTCATTTTCAAAACTGAAGCTTGCTTGTAACCGGAACCAAAAGGATATGACTCTACCAGCTGTTCAGATAGGTCAGTACATGCTTTAGAGAATATGTCGACAAGCTCTATGCAAATTACAGAACACTAATCTGAAGAACAGGCAGATTAGTGAGCTCCAGATACGCAGGAATCTTGACTGTGAGAAATCCATCCGTGGAAGAGCCCTTAAGCTTGCTGCTGATGAACATATTGGGTGATAACTGAAGGTGAAATGAAAGTCTAGGCCATGGCAGGAGTCTAACTAGCCACCTTCGGGTCACCGGTCGGTGCTCGACCAACTGAGTTACAATGTCCGGTTACCAACTCAATTTTAATTTCACTCCAATCACTAAAGGTTTGCCTGATTCCCAAGTAAATTTGCGATGCGTTACTATCGCTTGATCATACTCACACTGGGTGCCCGGTCAGGACTTCTCTTCCCATTTCAAACCAGTCTGAATTAGAGACGGGATGTATTATTACTGATTATCAGTTTGATTATCTGAGATAGCCGAACTGAGACAATTAAACTGATAGTCGACATGATGTTGTTTCCTTTTAAAACGAGATGATATGAAGTGGGATAAGAAGTCCTGACCGGGCAACCAGTGTGAGTACGATCAATAGATAGTAAGGTATGACGAATTCACATGGCAGTAGGGAAAAACCACTAATGACTGAAATGAAACAAAAATCTGGTCAGCCACCGGATATTGTAGCTCAGTTGGTCGAGGACCGGCTGGTAACCTGGTGGTCGCTGCTTGGAGCCCTATCAGGGTCTTGATTTTCATCGCATCTTCAATTATCATCAAGTATCAATACCAGGTTGCAAGCGAATTTTCGTTATCATATTGTACATATATCTTACCTAAACATATATCATAGCAAGATAAATGTTCTAAATTTTCTCCATAACATTTTCTTCCACCACCATGCGGTTCCGGAGCATTACACCATCTTGTACGCTGTCCAAATGACCGACGACACTGAGGAGGACAAGTTGATTTGTCGTTAGATCCGAAAAGGTTACTATGATTCAATATCTTATGCACCGTCTGCAGTGGAGATATTGCACATTCACTTGGACAGTCTGACCATGAAGACCATGATGACCAATGTCCATCAGCTAAATGAATGCAAATAAAAGTGATATTTACCGATATAATTCATAAATTAGTAAGGTTTTCAGAAAAACATTTGAATTTCACTCATCCTGATGGCCTCTTTTAATTGCATACTCAACTAACAAAGATGCTTTTCCACAAGGTTAAATCTCCATCGGCATTTACTACATAGCGATTCAGCTTGTCTATCGAAGTGCTCATTGGAACGATTTTTCTCAGGAGTACTACACTGTCAAGAAGTTATGGTGGCGTCCGACGGTGATATGGAACTTCTGGTCATAAGGAATGCTACAGTGCTGACAAGATTTCCAAGGATGGCCAGGATTCCAAACCGATACTGGCTTTCTGGATCGTAAGGTTGGGCCTTTAGATTAGCGGGCTTCTCACTGTCTCGCGAACTTCCACTACTGATGGCATAGGTTTTTCTTCAAGAGCGAATGTAAACATACAATCCATATGTAAAGCTGCGAGCAGATGTCACTCGGTTTCTGTAGTTATGCGAAATTGATACACTTTGCCTTTCAGACACCTCACGAAGATCACAGCCTGCAAGAAGTGACCATCTGAGAAGTGCCAATCATCCACACACTTTCAACAGCATACCAAACTCATCTTATAGCTTACCTCTATCCCTCTTTTTGCCTTCACCACCTATTCCTGTCTCGTACAGTCATAATAAGTAGGGATAATGATAAAAAGCAGTCAGCTGCACTAAACGTGGATATTTTGTCTCAGTGACGTAGAGAATTGTTTTACAAGCTATTGTGACAGCACAAATACAGAAAGAAAAGTATTCAACAGGTCAGATGAAGGTAGAATCGAATTCATCATGGTATCAAATTGTCATCTGAGAAAATTTAGGAAACCCAGTTAAGTCATCTAAGTACATTTGTTAGGCAAAAAGGTATCGTCATTTCACCTGAAATGGGAGACTATCCCGAAAAGTTATTTAAAATTTTTAATGTATAGCAGTTTGTTGGCGAACTGTATTTCTAAGATCGATGGTATTTTATGTGCTACCATTCTAGTAGAATGTAACTGAAAGCTATTCTTGTAAAGACAAATGGAACTGGGTAACAGATGTATACAAAATAATTGTTATACTGAATGAAGTTATTCAAAGTCTACTAGTTAGAGAATAAAGTATCTGAAGTTGCAGGTTTTCAATGAACAATTAGTCCTACCATAGGTCAATCGTCTCTGACAGTAACACTGAGTGACATGGGTTCGATTCTTAGATAAGACGCTTTGTTGACGAGTGCCAGGAAGCAGGAAGCCAAGGTTCATAGCTTCTTGGCAATTGTTTCCATGCAATATACACGACGAGTTTTTCTTTGCTTAACACTTTTACATTCTTTTCAAATCGACAATTAGATAGAAAAGCGTTCGGTCGTGTTTTGTAAGATAATGAGTCTTTTCAGGGTTTCGAATTTTGGCGTCTGCAAGTGAGAAATCCAATTTTTCAACAAGTTCTTAGCCATCTATCTATCTATGTAGTCATTAAAAAGAACACGATTAATTTACAGCTACCAGCATCTTTTATTCTACACCTAAATTAGTATACCATATCCAACCCTCTGCTGTGTTTATCCAACACATTTCACAGACAATTAAACGATATTTTACTGGATTCAGTCTAGTCATTGCCTCCTTATCGGTAAATACTTACATGTAAATCATAGAACTGGTTTTCACTTTTAAACCTGTTCTGCAGTATGCGATATAAACACAGAAAATTCCATCGGCAATGTATATACTTACTGAAAAGTCCAGTCTATTGCAAGACAGAAAAGTAACTGTAAAATGGAATACAGTGACCCATATTATCATTCAGATGAACAGTTCACATTTATGCAAAGACGTTGGTTTTAATCAGAAACTTCTTGTACCAAAAACTCAGTCACAATAGTTGTGGAATACAGGAATGATTCAGTCACTCTGCGTTCATCATCTGAGGTAAACTGATATTTCTAAGAATTTTTTGAATAAAACAATGTCCCGTTGACCTTAAGAAGATATATCCTGGCTGCCTTGAGCAAGTTAAACAACACCTAATTCACGTATATATATATATATATATATATATATATATATATATATATATATATACATTATATAATTTAACTTACTGTGTATTGTAAGCTGAGCATTGGATGATACACGTCGTCCTGCTTGATTTTCTACCACACATGTATAGATACCTTCATCTACTAGATTTGTATTTCTTATCATTAAACGACTAATTAATCCTGAGTAGTTAACAGATGCTTCATGGTTCACTACTTCATAATTATTAAGAATGTCTTTTTTCGCTGTTGATAAGTTCATTTCAGATATTATTATACGATCCTGAGCAATAGTATATTTAAGTTTGCGTCCATTTTTCATCCAATAGACCTATAATGATAGGCAAAGGACAGTATTATAAGAATTGTTGGAAGTTAAGAATAATAACTTATATGACACTGAATATGCACATTAATATAGTAATATATTTCAATATAATCATTGTGCGTGTGGAAAATCAAAACGAGATATTTCTAAACGTTTCGTTGTGTACGCCGCAGTTCCTTCAGTAGGTTCGTTTATTCTGCTGAAGAGGCTGTGGCGTACACAGCGAAACGTTTAGAAATATCTCGTTTTGATTTTCCACACACATCGTGATTATATTGAAATATATTCTGATAATGACCCAATCAGACTTGGTGTTCAACTTCTCCTAGGACATTCGTAACAATTATGGTCTGGATACTAATGATCTTATTGAATGTATACGTTCTTGAAGATGGAAACAAATATTCCACTTTATATTTACTACTTACCAAATGTAACCTCGCATGGTTAAATAGTTTACTGGTTACTAGCTGGTCCTAAGCCCGGATAAAGAGGAAAGGTTCGGCATAAAGCTAGCAACCATACCCCGTAAAACCAATCCAAACGCTAAAGAAACCTCAAAGAGCAAAGAAAATATAAAAAATAAAAATAAACTTATTCCTCCCCAAAATAGGAGACACGAAATGATGCCAGTTGGTGGAAGCCTTCGCGAAGCCAATTGGTCGATGTGTCTTCTCTCTCTCTCTCGATGAATGCAAAAGTAAACGTGGGGACATGGAATGTCCGCACAATGTATGAAACTAGATGGTAAGGCTGCCCAGATTGCAAACGAGATGAGAAGGTATAGCATTGAAGTGATAGGAATTTGCGAAAGCAAATAATGGAAGGAGACCCTCCAAACTATCAACTGGAGAATCAATAATGCACTCCAATATTGTCACACAGACGACAACCACGAACACTGCACACTGAGTTTTCGAGTGGTTATCATGATGTCGCCAACAACATTGAAAGCTCACTCTCATGTAGTGGGAACCAATCTCCTCCAGCATCAGGATGATGACAGCAAGGTTCAACTCAAAAGGAAGGAAGGAAGCAGTATGCGTAGTTCTGAGGAGTCCCATACTAGGACGAAACAGCCGTCCAGTGCTCCTAGATTTTCAATGGTTCCCCAACTGATGTCTGTCCATGATGAATACTACTTCTAGATAAGTAATATAATCTACAAATTACAAGCAGTTCAAAAAGTAGTATGAAATAAATTCCAACAGCTTTTCACTATGGGAATACGGGTGAAAATATTAGAGATACTTATGTGGTATTTCCTAAATATTATTATTCTGTATAAATTATTTATTTCTGGATAATGAAGTTAGCGAATTTCATGGGTGATGACACATGAATTAGTGTGGACTACAACGAAAACACAGAAATTCGACTGCTTCTTTTGTAAGACTTAACAACTAGCAAATGACATTGTTATACCCAAGTTCCAAGGTAGAAAACATGGAAACCAAATATTTATCTTCTTATTCATAGTCTGATAAATTTTACAGGAGATTTTATTCTTTATCTATGGAAAGACAACCATTTTATATGTGAAGTGAGGTCATATATTACCACCCTAACCCGGGTGGTAATATATCGCACTGCAAATTATTGCAACTGGGAAGAGATGAACTTTATACACTAAAATGGTTGAATGAGAATGCTAATTAGCGCAAACACTTTTCTTCATAATGTGGTTTCTTCTCTGGATTTCCACACTTACCTGTTCACCGTGAATTACGTTTTTACTTTGAGAGATTCTGAGTACGATTTCACTTTTAACTGTATACATACCTCTGAAAACTCTATAGGCGCTTAAGGATTTGATGAGTTCTTGGTCGAAAAACGTTAGTTAACCTGTAGTCAAACAAGTAGGTTTTGATACTTCTGACAGTGTAGCAAATTCAACTAGCCATGCTACTGTCACGCGTTTTCAGTTTATCACTTATTGGAAATGGACCATATTGAGGCACATAATTAAATATTATATCAACAAACGGGTCAGAGGCTATATTGTGTACGGTTAGTTAATAAGTTCAATGCTAACTAGGCTATCCAAGGTGATGTTTACTTGGTTAGAGGCACTGGTCTTAGAGGTTTCTTCGATTCAGGTTTTAGTTCCAATATCAATTATCATCCCGTTGTACTAAGTTCACTACCGACGAATTAGTCAATCAGACATGAGAAAAGTAATTAATTGATTCATGTGGGTCAGTCTGGATCTGAACTCATAGTCAAGTGGTTTGTGTTAAACATACACAAGTAAGGAGTGATGAAAGCTATTCCAGAAAACTTTGTAATTATTTCGTGGACCTGGTTTTATCAGTCATTTTAGCATAGTTTCTTTGAAATGTAAATTATTTACATGTTAATGATATGTTTTATTTGTTTGTCATACAAACCAGTGAATTCCTTAGAATACCTTCAATAGGAGACACGGATTATTTTCATCAAATGAAACCCACTGTTCAACAATGTCACATGACAATATGCTGTAACTCAGCTCTCGCTTCGAACAACTTAGCCAATAACATTTACTGAATTCTGAAGTTAAATAACTTACAGAATACTCTTTCACGAAGTTGTGTTGATTATTTAATTATTAGTAACCCATTTCCAAAACTCACTGACTTTGTGGAAAACGTCGCGGTGTCTGAGACCATTAGTGCTTGGTTTACTTCTTAGTGGAAGCAGAGTTACACGTTTGGTAAAACAAAGTAATAATTCCCATTGATTTCGTTTTTAGTTATCGTCGAATAACTGGTATCAAAATGCAACCAAAGATAATGCAGAAATATTTATCTATGGGACCTATATATATGAAGCCAGTATTTGTCTGGATCTATTCAGACAGCCTGAGAATCACATTCTCTAATAGACAGTAAACTGTCAGTGCGTTAAAGACAGAATACCGTTTCAAACCACCTGCAGGTACATTTCGAAAATGCTTTTCTTTGTGGGAAAATACATTAGGCATACACACATTCAGGAGTATAAGCGTAATCTAACATACTCTCCGGCGTGACTGGCAATTGGAGAGATGAGGGGAGGGACATCAACAGATCCACTGTTGAACAACTCATCATCTCTGAATACCTAAGCCTTGATAGCAATCGTCTAAAAGAATTTTCCACAGCCCTTAAATACCACTCCAAAGGATTTGAACTGTACCATAAACAAGTAGCATACTATAGATGATTTACAACCTAAGCCTAATGTTTGTGTCAGAAAACACCAAGTACATTAAATAACTTCATGCAGACCAGAGTAGGTAGATATTTTATCTCACAAAGCTCTCCGAACATTTCGTTTACTTTCTAATTTAAGCATATTATGTACACGGTTGTATAATTTTCGAAGATAAGTTTGTCGGAACAGAAATTTCCCTACTATAATCTTACTCAACATTTTATCTGTATGTTTATCTGCAACACCATTTGTGGAGCTTTGCTTGATCACTGGATAGTAATCAAAGTGCAATCCAGGATCACGAGTCTCTTAGCTTAATGTTTGCATTGCAACAAAATAATATAAAAGATACTACTACTGAACAGCTTGAGTAATTAGAAACCACTCAGAGTGATCTGTAGAATTTCGCCAACCAGATCGTAGTAATCCAAGCACTGAACGGCCGTTTCTCTCGTTTGGGGCTGAACTCATCAGTGGTGTACCCGGAGACTTTCATGTCTGAGGTCAAACATTAAGGACTCAGCTGAGTGATTTCCAGAGGAAACCTTGCTGACTCCACGGTTGGGCAGTTGGAAAACTACTCAGCTGTGAAAAATATCAACGTGGACTGTGCAATTTGTAGAGCACTTACAGATTGAAACAATAGGAAGCTGGTTACTAAGTGATCAGTTAATTTATCGCATCCAGTACTATGGGGATCATATGCATTGAAGTCACTTCAAAAGTAACGGTTGTGATTAGAGCATTAAGTGATGGGGATTTAATTGCTAGAAGTGTGCTTCTGATACTTGTAGGGAATAATACTTTGGATAGAGCATAAAAGGAGTATGGATGTCATCATGAACTAATGCAATGATAGCACTATAATTAAGGAGCACAGAAAGATAATATGCTTCAGCACAAAAGTGATCACCTAAATATGTTCAACTTAATTCTTAAAACCAAGATAAGGGAGAAAAACTTCCATAGCCCATCACCACACGCCAAATGGCCTTGACATTTACCATACACGTTTTGTACAGCTTTTTTGACTTGCCAGTACATCCTTTATCATTTGGCCGCTTCTTCCTATTTCCAACGAATCCAGCTACCCCAACAGAAGGAGTCTAAATGGTCATTTTTCAAAAACTAACATGTACACTAAGCTGTGTTAATGCTTACTGCCTGGATATTCTCCCTCTACTTAGGTATAATGGTGATGGTAATTCTTTTATTACTGTGTTCTATTTCCCCCTTATCTCGACTTTACTCTTTGACTCTTTTATGTCTAAAAACTGTGCTACTTACTAATAATGAGTAGTGTAATAATTTTTTTCCAAATGTTACCTTGTTAGCAGTATTTATTGTGCATTTATGATCAGATTTTATTCGTTATTTAATATCCTAGGAGATTGATGTTTTTCCCAATTTATGGTTATATTCTGCTCCTTTCGGTTATTTTTGTGACGTTTTTTCTTGAACGTTTGCTTGTTCACATCATATTTTTTATGTTACCCTAAGAATCTGCGTGTTTTCGATAATTTTTTTCTGGTGTTGTTTTCGAAAACAAGTTTCGAGGAATGCAAATTATCAGTGCTTTTTGTTGATTAATACAGTACCATAACTCAGACAAATCCTGCGTTTTGAATTTTACGCGTAACTCGAGCATTTGGTTTATTTGTTGAACAATGGCTCGGTCGTTTTGATTTCAAATTTCTTGGGAAAAAACTAACAGTTAATCCTTTTCGAAAATTTGACAGTTCACGCTGACGATTACGAATATTTCTTGTTACTGATTACTCACAAATGTTTAGGCCTAGTGTAAGTGCATCTTCCCTTTCATATCTCCAGTAAAATATTAGCTTTCAATACAGAAATTTATGAATACAAGACGATAAGTTTGAATTTTTAGGTAACAAACTAACCGCTAGTGAGTAGTGTGTTTGTATTTCGGGGACTTTTTCTAGGGTCAATATATCAGTGGATAGAGGCCGAATAAATTATTTACTCATTTCACTCTACTGAGGTGTAAGCAGTCTAACAAAACTGTCTGGATGCATCATTTTCTCATATTTGTATCTCTACTGCTTTCGTTAGGATAGAGAACATAATAAATCAGTGAATAATGGTCAACTGCTGCTCCATATTAACATCTTGCAGTTGTGTATCAAGTGATAATAAGTGGTCCATGAACTGGAAACCTACTTCATTTATTGAGATTTGGCCAACTACAGAGTATCATTAATCTTAGCTTAGGTCCAACTCGGTTTATCCCTTTGTTCTACACGTATGCTAGGCCTTATAGCTGTAACCGCTTCATGTATTCTGATTTTAACCTCTATGTCTCAGCCGTATGACAGGACAGAACGGACTGTAGGAGCGCCGTATACTCATCCTTTGATAGGTAGTCGGTTGGAGATGTTGCAAATTGGCGGATGTCAAACTACGTTTGGTATCTGAGCTGAGATTGTGTCAATAACCAGTCCGTTCGGGATGCTGCAACTTCCTAGGTAAGTGAAGTGGTGAATACATTCCACCACTTCACTCCCTATCATTATGCTGGGAGTACTTGAAGACCAGTCCTGGAATGTCATCATACACTGACTGGTGACAAACGCATGCCAAATATATTCAGATTTCTACTCAATACATTTAGAGGACCCTGCATTTTGTCAGCGTCACCAGCCAGTAGGACAATATAGTCTGTATATTACAAGTCGGTCAGATGACCTCCAAAGAGTAGGTCAATCCCCATGAAGTTAAATATACCAGGGGCTATATCCATTGATAACACAGCTACAATGAAAGTTAGTAGAAGCTATGACATTGGGTATCCCTGATGGACACTACCAGTTGTCGTCATTTCAGACGACAACTCTCCATAGACCCTAACATGGTTGGGTGAGTTCGGGTAGAGAAATTTGATTAGCTTTGTATATTTACTCGGTACTCCTTTCATACTCATACACTGCCACAACACCTCAGAGTTTGCAGAGCCAAATTTTGCCTTCAGATAAAGAAATATGGCAAGTTTAGGGCGTTGGTAGCTAAGACTGTGTTCCTGGATATGTTGGAGGGTAAAGATCTAACTGATGCACCCTTATCCAAACCTGAAACCCTCCTTGTTTTCTTGGCTTTATTGCTTTCAAGTTTCAGGGGAGAATGATGCCTAAATTTTTTCTTCCACAACATATTCAGATTTACAGGTCATATTTTTCTTACTAATCAACCGATGTATTCCCAGTCATCGATTTCTTTTACTGAGAGCAATGCTTTTTAATAGGATTCCTTTGTTAACGATGTGGTATCAGTAGTAACTTGTTATTTAGGATATGTTCTAGGTAAGTCTTTATGTTGACGGATCTATATGTTACGTAATAAATGGGACTGGAGTGAGCACATTTTTCCTTCGCCTTGTCCAGACATGTTATGTGTTTGAAGTTATCAGAATGATGGATACCCAGGAAAATACTCTAATCGCTTTTGTTTCTACTTATAAGTAGTGTAAAATTAATTGGTAAAATGTAGAGGTTTGTTTGCACATTGAAATTGCCAGTCATCATCTCTGGTCTAAGACGATAGATAATTATTAAACGTATCGCTAATACGTTGAGAATAAATTGAGAATCCTTAAATTATATATAATCCGCTGTTTGTGGACATCATATACGAATGATTACATACGACGTAAAAAATATTTCAAAAATAAGTATGCCATTTATTTGAGTCTGAGATAGCGATAATTAAAGATTGGTGTTTACATGCACATAGAGTTAAAGATCGAAGTTAGTATAGGAAGTAAGATGCAGCAGGATTTAAATTAGTTTTTGGGGTTCAGTGATCAACCCCATGTAACCTACATCCAGGGTATCTCCGAACACTTAATGACAGAGACAATGTATCAAACAACTCAGTTTGGTGCTGACATAGTGAGCTTGAATGATAGCGAAGTGACTGAGTGCACTGATAAGTAAGTAAGTAAGTAAGTAAGTCAGTAAGTCAGTAAGTAAGTCAGTAAGTCAGTAAGTAAGTCAGTAAGTTAGCAAGTAAGTAAGTTAGTAAGTAGAGAACCGTACGCAATCCGCGAAAAATCACACAGAGAAAACTTCCTTGTTCAATTCATATTGCTTCATGGGTTGCGAAACTGTCGGAAGATGGAAGCTAACTTGTGACTGCAAGGATGATTTTTATTCAAATGAATGTATGATTTCCGTAGTATTTTCATTTGCGTTAAAATACACCACGAAAAAGACTAGATAATTTATTCATTTTGTTCCATGAAAGTTAATCCATTCAGTGAAATCATCCTGACCGTAAATCAGCTTAGATCTAAAATTACAGCTCAGAAGCTTTGATCACAGTAAATAATCACTTACTGCTAGGCACAACCAAGTATATTACTTAAAATATTGGTCTCTGTTTTAGTAGTTATTATTATTAGTCACTTCCTGTTTGACAGTGTTTACCAAGACTGAGGACATGGCAACTAAATCTATTTCCAACTGGTAACCGATTTGATGACATGAACCAGTCTTATAGCGAATCAGTCTTGATATAAACGAACCCGTGGAAAAGTGTGTGCTTTTAGAACTGAGAGATACAGGTTCGGCTATTTGAGTGAACACGAATCTCCTCAGGATTATAGAAGTACTTCAATGATTATGATCAAGGAAGCGAAAAGTCTACATGACATAAGGATTTTCGTTGAATAACTACTAACATCAAGTGTTTAGCCTTGAATCAATTGGTTTCCTCTGTTACTGTTTCAGCCTAATTTAATTGGGCAAGAAATGGTTATCTGAGAGGCTAGTGTAATTCAAAATAGATATTTATACGTCTTTTGTTTACAGGAAGGCTGGGGAAGGGCTTATTAGTTACAGTGTGATTGAAACAACAAATGGAATTTATGGCCTATTTAGTGAAACACCAGGCCAGTAATCCAAAGGCTTCTAATTGAAATTCTTCTTCAGATCAGATTTCCTTTCATAAAATTTTGTTAGTTTCATGGGTACAACCAACGATATTTTTTAAAAAGAGAGTAACTGCTGGCTCAGCTGTACTCTTTAGGCCAGATTGCTTGTCAGCATGAACTTTAGTTCCAAAAACCTGATGAGCCGGTCTCCTTGCCAAACGGGAAACATCTTAGCAGCGCTTCCACATGAAAAAGAATACTCCAATCAGATCACTCTGTTAACACACTGTCAAGATTGACCATTAAAATTTCAGAACCCTCCGAATTATCAGGCCTTAACGCACCATATTTACAGGGTTATTGGGTTGTTTGACTTCACTCACCTCTCCCTGGGAAGACGTGGGTGGATGCGTCTGACGGAGTCTCCGAAGTCTTGCGGATCAGAGGCATTTTACATCCCGAAGAGGCTATCCTTCTCCCACGCTACTGATTAAATTTCACAGGCTCTCCTGGGTAAGTGATATAAAGTCAAGGCTAGGGCTGACGATACCGCATTCCGGGCCAAACATCACTCGTCTTCACAAGATAAACTAAACCTGCCCCCTACAAATCCTTCAACGACAATGGCTAATGGAATTAAGAAGCTGAATTCTCTTACCTTTGGGCTGCACCGCTTTCAGAGTGCTGGGTAGAAACCTGACGGCCAGCTAGATCATAGATGGTTTAGAGACCCACGCAACTGATCTGTGCATACGGGTCTCGTTGACCGCTTTTGCCGCCAAGTCCACTTCAGTGGTAGACTGGTTGATATCGACTGCGTTCAAGTAGATGCTCGCCGTGGTTACGTAACTAGGCTCGACCCTTAACCCTCGGTTTGAGAGGTGTTTTTTAAACCACATAGATTTCATCATCATTTCTAATGAGTTGGTTGCTGATGAGTACTCAGGGTGGATAAAAATGAGCTCTTTGGCATTTGTCGACTGGCTTCATCTCTAATGTTGCCAAGATACTTAATAAAGTGATAAAGAAGGTTAAATATACCACACTGCAACTTGCGCTTTTCCAACTTACGATCTTGAGACAAGACTGTTAACTTAAAAATATATGAGGCGGAAATGGATTATGGTAGTGTATAATGGATCATCAGGTGGGAGCGCTGGTAAGGGTAGGAATGAAGTATAAGGTAAGCAAGACAAGTGAGATAGCTTGTATATGTGTTATGCATCCTGAACAAGTATCTTCCTGGGTGTAACATATTAGCTGAACCAAAATTACGTTGCAACGAACTTAAAGAAATTTAGGATGAAACATGACACTAATCTGTGTAGTACCTGAATGCTGTTATGGACATTCTAAGAAGATGTTGGCTATCCATTCTTATACATAGTTTCTCTCTCCGCTCATATTCCATTTTTCCACTTAAATATCAATGGACTTACATCATATGGAGAACCATTTAAAGTGTGGAAGCATAGGGAAGCTTTTTCTTCCAGGTTTGGGACTATTCAACAGTGCACACGTACGACCTCGCCAGGCATCGAACCTAGAGCTAGAAGATCTCGTGGTTAGAACACTACCATTCAGTCACTGTATTTCTTTAAATGAAGGAATATTTCAATTTGCATATTGGGTATCCATAACACCAACTTAAATTTAGACACATCGTCTTATAAAATAATCCTCCATTATAAGTAAATTTCAGTGTGGGCAAAGATGTGATTAAAAATACCTTTGGTATTGGTCTGCCATCAGGCGGTTCACATGTGAATTCTACCGTCCATCCAAGAGGTATTCTAGTTGATTCAGGCTGTTTTAAAAAACGTTTGTTTAAATCTAAAAAGAAAAAAACTGTTTTCAAGAAAAGGCAGAAAGAGAATATATGAATATACTTTTGTTTATTTATTTATCATGAACTTAATAATCGTTTAAAGGAATTGCAATGTAATAATGTGGTCATTAGTGGCTAGGAATTGAATCCAGAACGCAGGTCAGTTGAATGTATCTACACCCAGTGGTCAGTTTTTATCCCGCTGAGATTGAAACCCAGCACCTATCACCTCGGACGCGACTGCGATACCCATCAGGCTACTAGGGCGAAGAAGTCATCTCTTATGTAACTAGTATCAGTTGTTATTTATTGATACTTGTAGCTTCCCGCTGCTATTCTAAATCGAATTGATAGACTTTTGTTGGCATGATGGCTGATGGGTCCGAAATAGGATGAAACGCGAATCCTGAATTCTACTACTAGCCATAGCCAAGCAAATTACAATATAGTCAATAATCAGGCAATATTGAGGTATCCGAAAAGGAGCCAGTATGCCAGCAGAGGCCTATCACTTCAATCGAAAACAATAACGGGAAGTTATACGTATCAACAAATTATTATTGTAATGCAATAAGTCTAAATGAAGCTCATTTCAAAAATATGATTAAAATCATAGGATTTAACATTTTATTCATTAAGGCTATAATGAGGCTCTGTGTAAAATTGACTAAAATCTTTAGAATGATAGGCTTGGATAGCTGTTATTGTTCACCATCGTGGAAGTGAAATCTTATGGGTTATCAGAGCTGTTTATAACAAGATAGAGCATAAAACTGACAATTTATAAGGACACAATCTTTCAGTCAATCCTCCCATAGAAGCATCATCGATGAATGTAATGGATAACCACAATTACTAGTGAATGATGGCTGGAAGCGAAATGGATATCTGGACCGCGGGTGGATTCGAACCAGCGACTACCGGGTTTTGCAGCCAGCTACTCCACCAACTGGGCTACCAGATCCTAACTACAAGTCTGCCAAACCATGGCTACCTCATATAGTCAAAATGATAGTCAGTATGATGCTCCCCCTCTCTAATTCATTTAGATTGGGATTGGGATGAGAACTCCAAACTATGCAGCCAGTGTGGGTGTGATCAAGCGATAGTAATGCATCACGAATTCTCATGGTGATCAGGCTAAATCCTTGGTGAATGAAGTCAAATAAAAATCTGGCAGGCGGCCCGATCTCGTAGCTCAGTTGGTAGATCATCGCGTCGGGCACACGGTGGTCCATGGTTCAAACCCGGTCACGGACTAAGTCTTCAATTCTTTATGTTTTCTTATGTTTATTGCAATTATAGATGAGTGAGACGAAGATTCAATTTGATGTCATCTTCAAACATTTCAGTAGAATAGTTTAGATCATAGTGGTTTCAACTTCATAAAGAAGGACTGAAGGAGTGATCGTATGTTCCTTGGTAGGGAAATCTTGGCTGACATTTTCATGAATGATGAATGATACACTCAAAGACAAGCGCAGATTAGAAAAGCGATTTTCTATTGTAGATGTTTTCATGAAAACTTCATCATTTTCAGTAATATGAAACATTTCTCACAAATGTTTCACTATTTTAACGAATTTCACTCAAATATGAAGTTTACAATGAGGTATGAAAGTCAGAAACAGTTTTATCCTTCTTAGGATCTAAGTGGATATGATGGATCTAGTAAAGATGTTTTTTGGAAAGACAAGAATATCATGGTCTGAAAAAAAACAGAGGAGAGTGACCATCTTGACAAGTTTATTATAGGGTAAAGAAAAAATAAAACGATGAAACTCCAAAAAATTCTTTTCACTTAACTTTTAAACAGACTGAGACTTCTGGAAAAATTGACGAAAGGAATAGAGAAGCGTTGGAAGCATGTAGTCCTATAGGAAGACTTGTCGGGCTAACTACTCTCCGAAAAAATCTTCATCAGACGAGTTTGTCTCCGGTTGATAACCAAGGTAACTGTCTACCCCTGGACGGACTTACAACTGAGTACTTGTGGAGGTAAGTAAATCTGAAAGACTAATACAAGTTCTTCTGAAAGGTTTTTAGGGCACATGAACAGGATTGGGTAGTTTGGTATTTCAATGGATTAGTGGTAATAAGTTAGTTATTTGTCACCCTAATGTATTTTTATTTACAAGAGCGTATCACGTATCATAATTTACTGAATTACTATTCGACTGATTAGTCCCCGAAGTGTAATCAGTCTCAGTTCTGACACGGTTCAGCTGACCATTTTAAGAAGTTAAAATACTCACCATCGCCTCGCGGTTTGATAGATGCTAGTTTGTTGGAGACGATAGGGAAAAAGCCCAGCTAGACATAGGTTTCATGCTTGTTGACACTCATCAGTAAAGTGTAACTGCAACTCTGATTGATTGAATTCGATTAGCACTTTGGACTAGAAAACATGAGATCGGTTACACTGAGATGACCAGTTTGGAATATTGGCAACTGACTAGTGTTCAGTTTAAAAAGGTGAGAAATCTGTTTTCAGGATATCGTTGATGGAGTTACTTCCAAAGTCTAAATTTATGCATGTTATGTCGTTTAACTCAGAAGAATACAATTAATCAATAATTTGGGTCAGTGGAAAAGGGAAATCATCCCTTGACTGAGAACAACGAAAAACTATATGATGGCTAACTGCAGAGAAAGATTAAAACGACCTCACTTAGTAGGTACTAAAAGAGTCAAAAGGTTTTCTAGCCTCTTTATAAGAAATAACTAGGTTGTTTTTACTTCTTCGTGAAGTTCTACTGTAGATTGAAACATTATGGCACAACAGAATGTTGTATCTTGTGTAACAATCAGATTTTTGAGTTGCTCTGCTTACATCACCTGTCCTACACCCGGTCATATGCGAGGGTGTGGTCATAAATTTCATGAATAGTCTAAACATGTCGGATAGTTTTCCGTACAAAATTGTGAACCAATGCGACTGACTCTGTGTCATGACATGTAATACATGTAACTTTTGAAGATGTTTACGATACAAGATTAGGCCTCCGAGGTACTTTACTGGTTGAAAAATCTTTGTTAAGGTTAGATCAACAGTCTTCTCAGTTGAAAGTTCCCATTTAGACATTTAGTAAAAAAGACTGATTGGGAGAAAAAAATATGTTCTTTTTCAATTAAGTCCTCATCTTTGGTTCTACACTAATAAGTATAAAACTCAGTCAAACACCAATAATTACAGATTTTCAATATGTGGTGAAGATAATAAGTTTGAGAAATCAAGATGCAAATAATCAACAGAGTAATTCGAAGGGTTAAAAATAATTACAATAATGCGAAACAAGTTTTTGTTGGGGGAATTTCATGGTAACTGATAAAGTAAATGAAGTAGTATTTCTGTCGAGTGATAAGTCATAAACAATGAATAAGTGCGTAGGAATAAGAAAACGAATGAACATTGATTGAACACGAGGGAGAAGAGAGGTACAAACTAATACCACAAAGTTAAGTCATATTTATACATGTAGTTGAACTAACTTTTTCAATTACTCAGGGTAGGTTTGTAAAGACGGATTGTAGTTACCTCTGTTGTGTGAAGTTGACAAATACTTAATCCATGTGGAAATCAATTGGTATCAGATTCATAATTTTAAGTACTTTGTTCCTACCATCCACTTCATGTCCACTATCAACCAAGTGTGCACGCATTCAGCTCTTCATTGTTCTCATCTCACCCTTATTCAAACATCATACATAGTGCTCAGAAATTAGACGATGCACTTGCCACATCCTACACCGAATGTAACCAACTCCATAAGAGCGGTCGAACTTATAAATGACATGCAAGTGGCAGAGTCAAGTAGTTGGATTTATTTCTTACACCTAGAAAGAAACAAGTGGTTATAGATGGTTGTAGATGGGAAATAATTTTGGGACTGGGAATGCTGTTTCAAAGCTCTTTCTATGCTTTGTATTGTGATTTGACTAACAATGTCAGTGTTGAATTCCAGTTTCATGAAGAATTGCTTCTTAAGAACTGCTAGCATTGTTGATTTAATCTTCGTAATATTCATATGCTTAGTTTTGAGCTTTTCTGGATAGCCATTCTTAATGAGTAGGTGGTGGATAGTGGTGAACTCTTCCTCTATAACATCATTAGAGCATGAAGCTAAGGGAAGATGTGCTAGACATTTCACCAGATCCCTCATGTATTAGAGGGGTACGGCACTAAAGAAGTGCGTTTACTGACTTGTCGATGCTGGCTTTCTATATATACTTCACTTCAGAGTTCCATCTAACCTTCCTACCGCCACAGCGTCAAGAAACTGGATACTGTCATTTAGCTCCTCTTTTGTTTGTAGATTTGATTTCCGGATGAATACTATTTGGATCTTGATTTCTCATACTGAAAAGTTATCACTACTGTTTATCAACCCCTCACTACCTGATCGCTGTTTTGACTGAGTTGTAAACCCGTATATTAATATAGAGCCAAAGATGAAGACCAAATTGAAGAGGAATATATTTCTTCATTCAGTCACTACTTTTCTAAATGTCTTCTAAATGCTGTACTTTGTGTTAGGCTCCCTTACTTTATGAAATACTGCGTAAGAATAGTAATTGGAGATGCGTAGAAAGGTGAGTTTTGTCCACGACAAATATTCATCAGCCAGATGCGTGTTCCAGGCATTTAGAATGTCTTATAGATGACTAAGTTCTTATAGTGAGTCCTTGTGCAAACTCATTTCGCCATACATTAGCAATAGGGGAACAATGCAGTGAATGTTACGGAACCGGCTAAACTTGAGATTTGGATACTAATCCAACATTAAAGATAAAAATGGACAAAAGGCCCTTAGTTTTAAGGATCGATTACGAGTTCATTAAACATGAACACTGTTCTCATTGCCAGCAATTATCTTGCTGTCCAATATACTACTTACTATTAAAAATTAGCTTAACTGAGGGTAGTAATTTCTCTTGTTTAAAGAAGGATGATACGGTGGAAAACATAGTAATGCTGGTAAATTTTAATTATAAACTAGTGTCG